CAAGACAGTGGTGAATGTGTCATCCACATATCGCCACCATGTCTTAGGTGCAGGAATAAACGTCTGCAAAGCCACCTCTTCCAATCTGTCCATAAATAGATCTACTATGATTGCAGATGTTGGTGATTCCATTGCTACTTCTTCTGTCACCTATATATTTTCTTCTGAAACTTGAAGACTGTGGAGGTCAAGCACAACTGTACGCGTAATATGATTACATCAACAAATATCTTGGTCCTATGAGTAAGTTCCGAATCAGTACTGAGTTGATTTCTGACTACCTTTAATCCCATGTTGATTGGTATTTTAGTATAAGGACATACTCTCCTTTTTTGTTTCATTAGTTTTTGTAAGCTAACTTACTGGATCGCTTGATCTTAATCGTATGAAAAGGGGTGATTAATTCTACTTCACAGAGTAGAAATAATCTATTCCAGTGGTAAAGTGTAGAAAGAGTTGCAAACAGTTGAAAGATTTCAAGTTGTTATTCATTGTAGACTGACATCAGTTAGAAAGAAACCTGGGAGCACTGGACAGCTGTTTCGTCGAGACCGGTGAACGGTGGGGGAAAAGCCTGATGGTCATGAGGACAGTTACTCAACAATGAGATTGGGTGGCGGTTGCGCTATATCGTGAGTTAACAGAACTTGAAAATAGGGACTATCGGATTCTGACCCAGTGGCTAGCTCAATTGTAACGTGCCGGCCACGGGACTTGAAAGTCACGGGCCTGATCCCTGACGGAGTCATAGGTGCGCACTACTGAGGAGTCCCATACTAGGATGAAACAGCTATCCAATGCTCCCAGGTTTCCTTTTTTCCTCCAACTGATGTCAGTCTACGATGAATAAGAACTTGAAGTAACTAAAAATATCCCACAACTCCCTCAAAATTCAGTTGAAAGATTCTTATTGGACAATGAATATCCACATGGATTTATCAACAGATATGAAAAAGCAGAAGTCGAAGAAAGTTATAGTCAACAAAAAGCTTGCATTCATTTGTCTCAGATCCATAGGTGTTAGTAGACAATTGAAGACATTCCCGACTAGAACTGTGCCAACAATCAGGTTAGTTCATGTATGGTAAACAATGCTCTGTTTATACCAATCAAATGTAACCAGATACCCTTCCTTTGTTACCTCCAGCTGTGTATATCAGTTTACGTATAGCTACCAAAACAAATACATTGAAAGGATAGAAGGAAGGGAGTATCTAAAATTTTCTGAACACATGTCGAAGAGCTTACTATCAAGGAGTAGTAACACTGAGAGCAGTTCAGTCATTCACTATCTCATCGACACTGGATACTGAGCAGACGTCTTCAGTTTCTTCAAGATAATAAACAGACAAAGAGGCTTAGTTCTTCTGAAGTTTGCTGAGGCGGTAGCCATAAAACACCTCAAATCTGACTTATGTGTTCAAAAAGAACCTATAATGGAACCTATATAAGAAAACGACAAAGGAGGAGACTCATGAGAGAATGTTTATTACGACATCTTGTACAATAGTCAATAAATATTGTACACTTTCCACTAAGACATTAATTTACATAATATGTTTCATTGCCTCTTTTACTTCTATTTCGATTTGCTCTCCATACGCTCAAATTATCTCTTGCATTTCTCAGTGCAAAATATTTACCCATTACTGGTAATTGCCTATGGCTTCTGATGACCCCCCAATATATACTACTTATATCCATCCCTATCAGCGGCACACACTACAATTACATTATCCTTTATCGTATGTTGTTAACTAACTGAGCTTAACTCACAATATTTCGCTTGAATGTCGTAATTTTCTAGTGTTTGGTTGCTATTCTTATGGTTACTCGTCATTCAAGAAACTTCCATTGGATTGTGTATATAACTGGGACAAGTTACTACCATTTCTTAACTCTCAATGAATCTGCCGTTATGACTGATCTTTACTTAGTATCTATCTCTCTCCGTCTTAACCACTGTTTCAGTGAATTAAAGTATTGATTGTGACTTGACTATGTAAGATAGCCGTTGTTTGGGAGACTAGTATTTGTACTGGGTGATGATTGAAGGTGAGATGAAAATCTGAACCGCAGCCGGATTCGAACAAGCGACCACCGGGTTACCAGCCCAGTGCTCTACCAACTCAGCTACGAAGTCCAACTGCTGACCAGAATTCTGTTTCACTTCAGTCACCAAGGGTTTTGCCTGGTGGTCGCTGGCTCGAATCCGACCGCGATCCAGATTTTCATCTCACCTTCAATCATCACCCAACACCAATTAAAGTATGTTAAATTTCCAGTAAAAATTTTGTATTTTGATATTTTAAGTTGCAAACAGTTGACAAGATATTATCATAATTATTACTATATTATTTGTCCCTTGGATTCCCAATGGAACATACGGAATCACTAGCACGCCTCCATTACACTCTCTGCTCTGCAATATTTACAACCTGGATCCACAACAACCCACAGCCTCTCATCTCCTCCATCTCACCCTCACCTCACCTCATCTCGGACACCCAACTCGTCGTTTCCCATCTGGGTCCCACTCCAGCAACTGGCCTGACTTGGTACATGATATCCCCAATCGACCTTCTCACTGAATGCCCAATCCATATACACTTCTTCACTTCTGCATATCAGTTGGGTGATAGGTTCCTACTTCGTTGGTTCGTTGCCTGCTAGCTTGCCTGCCTGCCAGTCAGGCAGCCAGTCAGCCAGCCAGTCAGCCACAGTTCCTTCTTGCTTATTCTTCTTCTTATTATTATTCTGGCAATCCATCTGAGCATCAGTAACGAGCCAGTGTAGGTGGCAGTTGTTGGTCAATGTATGTAGTTTGTTAGAAATGTCTTTCGTAACGCGCCGCCAAGTCTCTCAACCAAATAGAACCAGTGACTTGACGTTGGTGCTGAAAATCCGAATCTTGTTTCACACGCTGAATGCAGTGCAGTAGATCTCCACACTGGTTTCAGATTAATGAATGCCTGTCTTGCTGGCTTTTTGATCCTGACTGCTTTGACGTCATCGTCTGTGCCTGTGCCGCCACCGTCTGTAGTTGAAACCATGCTGCCCAGCTTAGATAGGTGAAAGAGGCTACTTCATTCAAGTTTCTCCTGTTCATGGTGATTGGTACTTGTCGTCGTCATTGTTGTTGTTGTTGGTGGTGGTGCTAGTGTTGGTGTTGGTGTTGGTATTGGTGTTGGTTGGGTATCTTCATCACCTCCGTCTTCTCTACCTTCACCTAAAGAAAGTCCCATCTTCGCTGCTCTGCTCTGTCCTGCCTTGCCTCACCTCACCTCACCTCACCTCACCTCACCTCACCTCATCTCACCCCACCCCACCTCATCTCACCTCTTCTCTCAACTTCTTAGTTTTCACTTGTAGATCTTCAAGTTTGTGCCACAACACATTACACACAAGTCATCATGCACCAAATCCAAATCTACCAGGATCTTCTCCCCACTCCAGCCACCCTATCCACCTCCCCTCCCCTACCCTCCCCTCCCCTCCTCTCCCCTCACTCCTCACACTTGTCTCATGCATCATCCACTCCACTCGACCACAATCAGCAAGATCATCCGTGATAGTAGACAGCCTTGTCTCACTCCTCCCTGTCTTCAATTCAAAGTCATCACTCAGCTTCCCATTGTGAATTACTTGGTGTGTCGTGTCTTCATATAGTTAGTTGTTGAATGAGATTGATAAAGGTTTGTGGTATTTCGTAGTATTGAAGCAACTGCCAAATTACTTGTCGGTCGACGCTGTTGTAGGTCTTTCCGAAGTCGATGAAGTTGAGGTAGAGTTGAGTTGAGTTGAGTTGAGATGAGTTGATTTGACTGTCATTCTATACTCTGTTCTATGATGATGCGTAGCGTGGAGTAGTGTAGCGTTGCAATTTGACGCTCACATGATTTGTACTTGTTGATTCTAGTCAGCCTGTTCTGGTCGTAGTTTTGAATCCAATGCATCCTTCACTCTCTCCAGGATGATGCGGCATTATATTTTGCTTGGGGTGGACAGGAGAGTGATTGCGCGCCAATTCTCGCAAACACTGAGGTCTCCCTTGTTTTGGAGTTTGACAAGGTAACCTTTCTTCTAATCTGTAGGTATCTTCCCTTCCTTCCAGACCTTGTGCTTTAGTGGTGTGAACATGTCCGCTGTCGTCTCTGCATCTGCTCTCAGTGCATCTGGCGGGATTCCATCTTATCCTGCATTTGACAAGATACCACGGAAATAAAATGGATACTTTTTATTCTGCTCCCATTGTTGTTCTTACTCTTTTCAAATACAAGCATTTCATTACGGACTATTAAATGTTGCGATCATTTCGAAAGGTGCTCCGCTTCAATTATCAGCGAGGTCAAAGCATAACCTTGAGGATAATTATACTTCTTGAATATGGAAGTTTGCACCGATTAGTGCTATAGTTAAATGGCTTGCTGCTAAGTTGTTTACACCATAGCTCTAAAGTTTCCTATACTGTTCAAAGCATATTGATCAAAACATAAAGTGTAGCTGGGAGACGGTACGGATAAATATGAGATTTAAGTCAAACGATCTCTTCATTTTCTATATGCTTTTTTCAAGTATTATTGATTCATTTTGGTATTCATCATGGACTGACATCATTTTGACGAATTATGAAAAATCTAACATCAACGGGAATGTCAAGGCATACAATATAAACAGCCAACATGACAACTTGAACTGTTGACATTGATCTTGACAATCAACCACGAGAAAAAAAATACTCGAATTCTAATTGATAAGTAATTTTTGCAGTCTTTGATGGTAATATTTTTATGCATAGTATTTATGCGCATAAGGAAATGAAGCTGGAAGAGAAAAATGAGATGATTTCAACAGAAGTACAATCTTCAATCACACCTCTACATCTCTGATTCTTTCATAAAAGACAAAAAAAGGAAAAAAAAACCTATGATAGTCATTCAAATTCCATATGGTTTCCAAAATTGCAGGAATACAAGTATCAAAGCTAAAAGTTTACTTACACCATAACCAGCAATTTCACCATTATTACTATTTTTATCATTCCTTGATATACCATTGGAATCATCAAATCTATTGAATGATGGATATTTTTTCTGTGGAGAATTATCCGCTGCATCACTCAAACATGAACATTCACCTGGATCACCTTTTGGTCCACGAAGTTGTTTTTGAATTTCCTTCAAAATAAGAAAACAAAAAAAAAGAGGTTAGAAACAAAATTCAAACTAGAGTATTATTTATACTGGGTGATAATTGAAGATGAAACGAAAATTTGGACCGTAGCCGGATTCCAATCAGTGAACACCGGGTTTCCGGCTTGATGCTTTACCAACTGAGCTTTTTTCATTTCACCTTCAATCATCACCTATTATCAATACTAGTCTGCTAAACAACGGCTATCTTACTCAAATAATCGAAATGATAGTCAGAATGTTATTACTAGTTCGACTATTACGGATAGTTTTGACTATCAAACAACAACTATGCTTAAATTTATGTGAGAAAAGTGAATTGTAGTGAGATTTTAGCCATTGACCTCTATAACTCAACAGTTCTCTGATAATTAATCACACTTAGATTTCACTCAAGAATCCACTTGTTCAATGTGTTTTTTTACTGCTCATCTTTAATCATTGGTTGCCACCCTAAAAAGGACAATATCTGAAGTTAAAGTCACTCATATCGAGTGACTTTAAAGACCACACTGCCAAACTAACCAATCAGGTTTCGATATATCGCCTGCGATGGTAGATTTTTATGAAATAGAGAAGCTTGATTGGCTATCTCAGCAGTTGTTGCGGTGGCCTTTAAAGATACTCCGCGATGTAGATGTATTGAGCCAAAGTTTCGCCTTATATTTGAGTGACTTTAAAGGCCACCTTAGCAGTAAATGGAACCAGCGAAAATGAAAATGTCTAATTGGTTATTTCAGTCGTTAATAGGGTGGAATTTTAAAGCTTCTCCTTTTATTTTCGGTCAGAATCCACCATGGACTGTACATCATTTGGAGAAACATTGGAAACGTGGGGGCATTAGACAGTAGTTTCGTCCTAGTGTGGGGTTCCTCAGCAGTTCGCACCCGTGACCTTGCCAGAAATCGAATGCAAAACCTTCAGGTTCCGTGGCCAGCACGTTACCATTAAGCCACTGGGTCGGGATCCAATGGTCCACATTTCCTACTTCCGTCGGTTCACGATTTAGCCTGACCTATATCCAAGGTTGTCGTTGAGTAACTGTCTTCACGTCCGACTTGGTTGACTCCACTGGTCATGACTTCTGATTCGAAGTTCGGGAATCCCCTCTCAAATCTAGTCACCAATGAGCGCCAGATTAATTCTATCTGGAGGTTTTATGTTATGACTATTAGGTCGGATATATGCTAACGAATATAAAATTATGTGGTAGGCTAGCGACTACTGAAATAACCACTTAGGTTTCATCATTTTATGAAGAAAACTGGGCAACTGTAAAGGTCACCCCAGCAACTGTTGAGATAACCAATTACGTTTCTATATTTTATAGAAAACTGCCATCTCAGACGGAATACCGATGCCTGATTGGTTATTACAGTAGTTCATAAGGTGGCCTTTAGAGTTACTCAATAAAATATAAGAAGATTAGTGTAACTTTAATGGCCACCCCAGCAACTTGTGAGATAAACTATCACGTTTTTTTTATTTTTGGAAAATCTACTTTTCTGGCAGTTACTTCGGGAGCTGCTAGGGTGACCTTTAAAGTTATTTGATTAGTTTGCGTATTCTTTCATTTTACTATCTAGTTTTTGAAGTGACCTTGAGATTAACTTCAGTGGTCATCCTATGAAATGCCAAGGTAACCAACCAAGTTTCCGTACTTCGACTGTGAAGGTAACTTTTTTATAAAATAAAAGTAGTGTAATTGGTCATCTCAGTAGTTTCTAGGACAGCCTTTAAAGTCACTATTTTGTCGTTACGATATTCTTTTACATAATCCTTAGCAAGAAACGAGTGACATTAAGGGTCACCCTAACAACTTCAGATTTAGGAATTCCGACTGGGACAGTTGTTTTCCATAGAATACTGAAACGTAATACGTTCTCTCAGTGGTTGATAAAGTGGTTTTTAGAATCAGAATAAAAAACGACTTTAAATTACTAGAACCTGAAGTGATTTTAGAGGTCACTCAATTAGATTCTCTATTTTGTGAAAAACTAGTTTCCTAGTCGAAATGCAGAAAATTGATCAGTTATCTCAGTGGTTGTTGAGGTGATCTTGAAATCCACTCAGACCTTGTCTTAAAGAGTCAAGAACGATTTTTCTTTGACTCAAAAATTGTGATAGTGACACTTGTTGGTTTAACTAAGAGTACACGTTTGGTAATAGTAGACGAAATTCCATGCATATAGAAGAAAGAAATGCAAATTCATAACACAGGGTAACTCTGAAGCCCATCCTAGTAACCACTGAAATAACCAACTAGGGTTTTTTTATACTTCAGTTATAAAGATGTTTCTTTCAGAAAATGAAGCAAAGTAATCGGTCATTTGAGTAGTTGTTACGGTGGCCTTCCAAAGGTCACTTACAACAGATATGATAATTTTTGAATAAGATGTTCCGTTGATTCTTCAACTTTTCTTGGAGCAATCATCACTACTGATCTTCCTGATTGTGGTGAACTGCATCATGCAGCAAACCGTGAAAAGGGAGAAGATGGGCATACACTGGACCAATGAAAACAGCCTAGAAGATTTCGATTTCGCCACCGATCATGATTTATGTCTAATGTCTTGTTGCACAAACTCGAAGATCTACAGGTGAAAACTAACAAGTTGACAGAAGAGGCAGGACAGCGAAAGCGGGACTTCAAGTGAATGTAGAGAAGACAGAGGTGATGAAGATACCGCACCACCACCACCAACAACAAGCTGCAATCACCATCAACAGGAGAAACCTCAAAGAAGTATTCTCGTCCACCTACCTATCTACGCAGCATCGTTTCAGCTACAGGCGGTGTCACAGATGAGGACTTCAAAGCAGCCAGGATCAGAAATATAACCAGACAGGCCTTCCTGCATTTATCTGAAATAATCAGTGTGGAGATCTACTGCACTCACCACAAAGTGTTAACAAGATTCGGATTTTCAACACTAATGTTAGTCAAGGAAGTCAGTGCTTGGAGCGTTACAAAAGCATTTCCAACAAACTACAGACATACATGAACAACTACCGCCTACACTCACTCCACACTGAAGATCACACGGCGAGAAATAATAAGCAAGAAGGAACTGTATGAACGAACCAACCAACAACCTATCACCCAATAAATATGCAGAAGTGAAGAAGTGGAGATGGATTGGATTGGGCATACACTGAGAAGGCCGACTGGGGACATCACGCGGCAGGCCAGGTACTCGAGTGGAACCCAGATGGGAGTGAAGAGTTGTGCTTCCGAGGTGAGGGTGACATGGAGGAGATCATGTGAGGAAGAAATGAAAGCTTGTGTACAGTCGTGGAACCAGGTTGAAAAGACTGGAGAGAAGAGAGTGGGATGGTGACTTGCTACTCAATCTCTATATTCCACTAGGAAACCAAGGGAAAAATAATGATAATAATAATAATCGTAGCTGCAGCATCAACTATTGAAGTGACTTGGGTCCTGATGTCAGATCAAGGATTGATCTCTGCCCAAAAGTTTCTCTTTTCACATAAAATGGATGTGACCAGTAGATTGCCTCAAATAATGATCAAGATGTTACTGGTTAAGAAGTGGAGTCGAATCCTGGGGCTCAAGACCAACTTTATTCATATTTCATGAAAACTTGTTATGTCACAGAGGCTACTGAATTGAAATCGACGATGAATTTTACATTCAAAGGAAGCAATTCTGTCAGAGCTATAAACTGCTGTGAGAAGTCATAAGACTGGGGGGGGGGGGGCAAGCATTACTGTCGTTATTCCGTTTCTTGTGTTCTTACGGATTTCTTCATAAAGTGTAAAGGATAATTATTAATTATTAGTGCCTCTTTTATGTACTTCACTTCCTTGTTTAGCTTTCTTGTACTGACTAGTCAGTTTTCTAGCTTTATTGTTCCGACATTTGACTAAACCTGCCTTAACTGGCATTGGATGAGATGACTTGAAATCTACTCGGTTTCCTGCAGACAGTAGTATCTAAACCACCATTTGTTCTTCATTCTACTCTCCAACACCTACCAAAAAAGACCAAAAATGAGAGGTGATAGTGAAGGAAACGAGAAGACAGAGACGAAGGTACAGTAGTCATCAGATATGCTACACCTTGCACTAAGAAATAGTGGATAATGTGTTTCATTTGCTTTTTTGCTTCGATCTCGATTCTCTCTTAATACGCTTACATTGTCTCTCTGGACAGGATATTTACTCAACGCTGGTAACTGCCTAAAATTTCTACCGACCTCTCAAAATATACTACTTATATCCATTATTATCAGTAGTACCCACTATATTATCATTGCTTAAAAGTTGCCTACAGTTCAATGTGATCCTCATACATACAGCAAAGAAATATTCGAAATGGTCAGACATATTATTAATAATACATATTGCAATATAATAAAGTGTTATTACTTACTGGTTGTAAAATGAAATCTTCAATAGCTTGTCTAATGGATGAAACTGATTGTTCATCTGTAAGATCAACTATGCCAGGATCACCTTTTTCACCCTGTAAATGGAAATTGAAAGATCAAAGTGACAAACATATATGTCAACAAATGAGTGAATAGAAGAAGAAAATCAATAATTAGGTCTTTTCAAATAACTAATAACTCGTCAATTAACCGATTTATTTCTATGCCCCCCCCCGTCATCTCTCCCTCTCTTTATCATCTAAATGAATATCGAATTCGTCAGTGAAGTGACTAGTTAGACAGATTATAAACAAGTTGGTACAACTAAAGACTAAGTTCATACAAATCCCTTCAGTGAAAATGTTATTTATCGGACAGTAACAAATGATATAGAAGTCAAGATGCTGTCTAATAGTCATGACAACATGAACTGGTTTATGGACATTTGTTTGAGTTGACTTCATTGGCAATCTTCCTTTCTATCAATCTGTTCAACTGGGAACTGTATTATTGATTATGATATTATTGAAGATAGACAATCGAATAACTAATTAAACGACGCGAAATTTGTCAACTCTACTGATATTTTATCTTTTTGTGTTATAGATTGCAATATCCCGTTGTAAACCGGTTTGAATTAATCAGTAACAATTGGTATATTGGCCCCTGGACTACCAGTGAAATTTAGGATGTATGGTTTGGCCTATTTGGGACTCATGTGGTCAACAAGTACACTAGTTACTAGCCAGTCATAAGCCCGGGTAAAGAGGGAAGATTGGGCATAGGTCTAGCAACCCTACCTCCAGAAAACCAATCCAATAGCTGAAGAAACTTCAAAGCACAAAGAAAATATAGAAAATAAAAACAAAATTATTCATCGCTGGAATCGGAGAGACGAAATGACGCCGGTTGGTGAAACCTTTCGGGAAGTCAGTCGGCCGAACAAACTACAGACATACATGAACAACTACCGCCTACACTCACTCCACACTGAAGATCACACGGCGAGAAATAATAAACAAGAAGGAACTGTATGAACGAACCAACCAACAACCTATCACCCAATAAATATGTAGAAGTGAAGAAGTGGAGATGGATTGGATTGGACATACACTGAGAACACCGATTGGTGACATCACGCGGCTGGCCAGGTACTCGAGTGGAACCCAGATGGGAAGTGAAGAGTTGGGCTTCCGAGGTGAGGGTGACATGGAGGAGATCATGTGAGGAAGAAATGAAAGCTTGTGTACAGTCGTGGATCCAGGTTGAAAAGACTGGAGAGAAGAGAGTGGGATGGTGACTTGCTACTCAATCCCTATATTCCACTAGGAAGCCAAGGGAAAAATAACAATAATAATAGTAATAATATGAATATACATGCTCTCAGTGAGTAGTGTTATTCCCAGCAAAAACTTTAACCAAACACTCAAGGTTTCAAACATTAGAAGGTTACCTCCTATGCCACATCTGAGAACAACATCACTAACTGGGAGGCAGATACATTCATCTAATGAATCCAGAATAGAACGAAACGCCATCAGCCCTATCCTATCATTGCTTTTGAGATTGAAAGTATAGTGCTACTAAGCATTAGGTCGTGTTTACACTAATGTCTAGATTGGTATGAAAATCTGTCATTCACTTAAACTATGGATATTAATTTTCCTTCACTGTAATGTTAAGAAAAATTCACTGCTCAGCATTTTTTTTTATTCTATAAGATTGTATTTCACTTTCATTATGCAGGGAAGAATTTGCCACATCAAAATGTTGAGTCATATTTGGAGATCAGCTAGTGGGATAATGATACTGCTTAGTTTAATGAACAGGTTTCAGATGGTTGTATATTTTATTGGTTATACATCAGTCAAGTATCCTTTCAGTTGACATTGCCTTAGATGTTATTTAGATGCTAATTAATAGCTTATATTTATAGCAATTGAATTAGGAGTATGAAGGTACAAGTTGGTGGTACAGTGGAAGATTGTTGTTTCAACAAATTGCCAACAGCACTGATATAATATAATAATCTCATAGTTAGCGTTCTGTGTGCAGAAATTATCTGTCTTCCTCTACTCCACTGGTCCTCCTTCGGCTTTATCTGCTTCATAATCTTCTTTCCTATACTGAAAATCAATCTCTACCTCATTTCCGTTAACAATCGATTGTCTGTTGCTGTAATTTCTTTAAAGACTTTGAAACACATACCACTTAAACAGGTTATTAGTATGATACGCTATATGTATAATCCTTCGTTTTGAAACTTGGGCTAGAGATGATAGACGGTTTTATATAGTATTGCTGAAATAAAGTGTTATTGAGACTCAGTCTTCACATGGCAGTATATACATAAACAAAACAAAATTACGAAATAATGTTATGCTGGTCTTTCTGAAATATTTTTTTACCAAGACTAGTTGTCGTTGTTCTGGTCGCGGAACTTGAAGGCTTTGGGTACGAGCCCTGTCCAGGCAGAGTCATGAGTACTCACTCGCTGCTGAGGAGTCCCATACTAGAACGAAATAGCTAACCAGTGCTCCAAGGTTTTCAATGTTCTTCCAACTGACATCAATCCATGATGAATTCCAACCTGAAATAATTACTCTATTTTCTTTGTCTTCTGAATGGATCAAGATGTAGCATCAAAAGAAGTGAATAGAGCTGTCAAAAAATTTTCAACATCATCTTTATGACGTCTACTAACTCAGATCTAGGCGGCACAGACGATGACGCCAAAGCAGCCAGGATCGGAAAGCCAGCAAGATAGGCATTCATTAACCTGAAACCAGTGTGGAGATCTACTTCACTCCACTCAGCACAAAGCGTGAACAATATCCGGATTTTCAACACCAACGTCAAGTCGGTGCTTTTGTATGGTTCAGAGACTTGGCGGCGCGTTACGAAAAGCATTTGCAACAAACTACAAATATTCATCAACAACTGCCACCTACACTGGCTCGATACTGAAGATCAGATGGCAAGAAGTAATAAGCAAGAAGGAACTCTGGCTGGCTGGCAATGAACCAACCAAGAACCTATCACTCAAAAAAATATGCACTGGAAGGAAGTGTAGATGGATTGGGCATACATTGAGAAGGCCGACTGGGGACATCACGTCGCAGGCCAGTTGCTCGAGTGGAAGCCAGATGGGAAGTGAAGAGTTGGGCTTCCGAGGTGAGGGTGAGATGGAGGAGATGGTGTGAGGAGGAAATGAGAGGTTGTGGGGTGTCGTGGAGCCAGATTCAAAAGATTTCAGAGAACAGAGCGCATTAGAGACGTGTTAGTGACGCCTAATGTTCCATTAGGAACTCAAGGGACAAATAATAATGATAAAAACTCAGATCTAAGGGAAGAGTTTACACTCGACAGTTTAGCCTTGAATTAAGTGAAAATGTAGGAACTATAATGTTGTTATGTACGTTGAAAAGAATCAGTGAGACTTATAAAGTTACCTTTTCTCCAGGTGGTCCCTGTGGTCCAGGTATTGCAGCTTCTTTACACTGATCAATTGTACAAACACCAGGAGGACCAGGTTCACCTTTAGATCCCTGAAGAATCGATGAAAAACAAGAAATGTTAGGAAAGTATGACTCATCATTCTCATAATAAATTACGGGGAATAAAATGTGAAAGGTAACAGATCCCACTTATCCTATTGCGTGATCTAAATCTCAGAAAAATTTTCCCAAATAAATGACTCAGGGCATTGAGTCTCATATTCAAGTGAAACTTTATCGCGATGTCTCTGTTCTTCATTAAACCATGTCACCTGTTGTTAACTGACTCAACGACGGCATTGGATGGAGGTTGTGCTATATCGTGAACTGACAGTAGCCCGGTGGCTGAATGGTAAGATGCTGGCCACCGGACCTTAAGGTTCTGGGTTCGATCCCCGATGGATCATCGAGATGCTCCACCGAGAAGTCCCATGCTAAGACGAAACGGCTGTCCAGTGGTCTCAGGTTTCCTATGGTTCTTCAATTGATTTTAGTCAATGATGAACACCAACCTGAAATAAATAAATAAATCCCCACAAATGTCTAAATCTAATATGTTCAAATTCTCTTGTGATACTATATTTAAATGTTTTAAGTTGTGACGAGGGAAACGGTTAAATAAAAGTCGTATTATGTTATCTGGCTGTAATCGTTGTTCGTTCTCTGCTCAAGTTCACCATAAACCGGAATATGCGAATGAAATATTCGTATAACAAAAGCTGTATCCTACACCGATAGTTATATCACCTACTCACTAACTTTCACAAATGTGAGCATTATCCCTAAATCCTAGCACCAATGATTTCTAGTGTCATATTTTAAACATAATTTGATTAGTGATGGATAATGGCTGAAACTGTAATCCAGGACACGCATTTTGTCCAAATCGGGGTCCACTGGTCAGCCGGATGTACCTGCCTTCCACCAACCGATGTTGTTCCTACCAAGACTCTAACTCAAGACCCATTACTTCAAATGACAGAGCGTTATCCACAAGACCACTGAGTCAAGATAGCCACTTCTTGTATTATCCCATCATTGATTCGATCGAATCTATCAGTCTCTATTGGCAAACGTGTCAAGAGTTAGTTGCCGCACAGTTCTCTCCAAGTACAATACAAATTATGCAATAGTGCTTAATTGTTGAACATATTTCGATGCATTCAACATTCTCAGGTGGTTGTTATTATTTGTTGATATTTTTAATTCCCATGCCTCAGCAGCCCAGTGAATAACGCTCTGGAATTTGAAGCGATCGGCCCCGAGTTCGAATCCCGGCGGAAACAACATCGCTCACTGGGAGGCAGGTATATGTGGTTGATGACTCCCAAGTAGGACGAAGTATGCATCCTGAATACACTGCTAGCCACTATCTATCATTAGTATGTAACTCAAACACAGGCAATATCGAGGCATCCGCGTAGGAGCTCATATGCCAGTACAAACCGATCAATTCGGTCCACTCATCGACGGGATTAGTCTTAAACAGAAAAGATTTTCTTAAATTACCTAGTTATTTGTGCAATCATGTTTTATTCAGGCTTAACTAAATGTCCTGATATAATTTAGTCCTCAAATGATGCAAGTGTATAGCCAAAAACTTTCATAAAGTCAAAGTTCAAGTGAATGGTATATATTATCTCCTAAGGTGTTCTCATTAGGTGATGAGTTGTTCAAGAAATAACTGATACTTTGTTTATTCTATGTGGAAAACAATTACAAACAATAAGGACTATGAGTTTTTTTCTTCGGCACATTAAATACTACGTATTTTGCGGTGACGTGCATAAACGAAAGCATTTTATATTATTCAGACAAACTGTTTGCAGCTGCTGTTTTCTTATCACCTTGTATATGCAAGAGGAACGTTATCTGAATTCCAAAGTTTATCAGTAACCAATCGATAACTGATTCAATCAATAGATGGAATAAGTTCTACATCTCCTTAGTTGATACTGATGATAAAATGAAAATTTTAGATCACTGCGGGATTCGAACCAGCGACTATTGGGTTTTCAGCCATATATTCTACCAAATGATCTATAAGATCCTAATGCTTATCAGATTTTTAACATTTTATTTCACTTCAATCATTGTTCATTTTATTCAATTTACTCAGTAATTCATCAAACAGGTAACTGTTTCAAATCTAAAGGTAATTTGTACTTCTTTTCAGGAGGCGGGGGGGAATAATCATTTTTGCATATTCTGTAAACAAAAGGCTTTATTTATTGGTCAAAATAGTATCATTTCATTATTTCTTAAACAAATCCTATAAGTTATGTAAATTGATAATTATAATAAAAGTATTCATTGATTACCATTAAACTAGTAGAGGTATTCGATTGACAAGTTGCTGGACAAATACCAGGAGGTCCTTGAGGTCCCTTGTAAAGATGAAAGGCAAAAAAAAACATCCAGAATAAACAACATGGAGCTTCTAGAAATGAAATAAAAATCTCCGCCATCCATCAGCTGATGAACTACTTGAGACTAGGAATTATTTTGTTATTTCTAATGTTGGAATTCTTCCTTGAGATAATTATGTATCACTTTGTTTTCTTCAGTAGTGATTAAAATGGTCCTGACTCCTAAAATAGTCTTCAAACTAATTGTGTCTGGTTTTTGGTTATTGTCATTAACTTTTAAAAAATGATGTATCAGTTAACCGGTCATTTCAATCGGTCACTTTGGCCTCCCCACCCCCACCAACTCATATAAAATAAGTTTTATAGTAATGTATTTTTGAGATGAATGGGGATTTTTTTAATTTAGAAGTAGTATTCATCATGGACTGACGTCGATTGGGGGAACCATTGAAAATATGGGAGCACTGGACACCTGTTTCATCTTAGTATGGGACTTCTCAGCAGTAAGCACCCACGACGCCGCTAGGGATCCAATTCAGGACATTCAGGTTTCACTGCGAACGCATTAACCATTCAGCCATTGGATCGGTTTCCAGTGGTTCACAATTTACAATTTGTGTCAATTCAGTAAAGATCTTCAGTTAGCATCCACTTCACCTCCGACTGGTTGACCCCATTGATCTTGGCTTCTCATCAGAGCTTCCTGATATCCCTCTGGAAGCAAGTCACCAATGAGCACTATACAGTAATGTATTTTGAGATGAATGGGGATTTTTTTAATTTAGAAGTAGTATTCATCATGGACTGACATCAGTTGGGGAACCATTGAAAATCTGGGAGCACTGGACAAGTCTTGAAAATGTTAATAAGATCACATCCCAGTTTTTTATTTTGACAAATAATATTACTCATCCACATTATTTCTTTACATTATCTTCTTGGTCTCAAGTTAATTGTGACAATTTTATCAAAACTGTATTACTACATAATGCAATATAGGGGTCTCCACTTGACTTACCGCCTAAAAATGATTCGAATACTTTTACACATATTTTATTTCCTTTAAGAGTTATATAACACCTAGATGAGTTTTGTGGTATACTGGTTGATTTGGTGACCTTGTATAATTAGTTCAGTTTCGCCGAAGGCTAGCAGTGAGTAGCTCTGAAGGCTACTCTAGTAACCTCTGGAATAACCAGTTAAATTTATTTATTTGTGAAAAATTCATCTTACCAGCCGAAATAGAGAAACTTAATTGGTGATTTTATCGGCTGCTAAGGTGACCTTCAAGTCAGTGCTACTACTTGAGACAAAGGTCACATCACCTGGAAATGGTTGGAAGTATGTAACAACCCTAATGGTAGAAGACAAAAATGTGATTAAGTTGTTGGGTCTTTTCGAACCTAGAAACAAGTAAACTAACCAAAGAATACTGAATACTTTAACAGATACATCAAAGGTTAGTTTAAACCGTCCTGTTAATCAAAGATTTTATCATCAAGAGATTGCTGAGAGAAATGATAGAATACATTTAGCATTCAAGAATGGACAACATGAAATTGGTTACTCCAGTTTCACCGAAGATCACTTTCTATCCCAGTAGCTCAGTTGTAGGCTTCCTGACTGTAAAGACTGGATGAATTGCGTTCGAATCTCTGAGTGGACATCAGTCCCCTTGCTGACGACTGCCAACAAGCACGGGACTTGACAATCCCTACCCGTAACAACTATCTAACACCAATTACTAAAATGTGTTTGAAGGTAAGGCATCTAAAGTATAGTGACCTTGGATTACCTGTTATGCTACGATTGATCAAGTGACTCTTTCTAAATTTCCTACCACTGTTATAAAAGTAGAAAATGACACTGATTTCCAAAGTTGTAATATCTTGATAAAAAAGATTCAAGACTGCTAATCTACTAATATGAGTATGAGTAAAGAAATCTATTCACTCTTCTCAAGGATCAGAAATATATCCACAGAAGATGATACCATAGGTGATGAATTCAAGAAACTATGGAAGTTTTTTCCAGTTGTGGATACTCATCAGAATTTATAGAAAAAAAAGATTTTGCTGCTAAGCGTCAAATTCAAAGGGTATGATACGGATAGAATTCTCAAGATTTATACACAAAACATTCCCCCCCCCCCACCAATCTTCTGTCAAAATCTTATTCGTCAGCATATGAAGGATAAACTGGAGCATTCAGCTACATAAACAAATATATGTCAGTTTACTTACTCCTGTGGAGCCAAGAGTATCGGCCATATCATGTATCAGCTTTCGAAATGCTTTCATCAGGACTATTCAACCTCAGTAACAAAGGGAAATGCTTCTTCAGTTCTGTAACAGAACACTTGGTGTACTTTAGACATTAACCTTTTGATAAATCCTACTTATACCAGGCTATATATATATATATATATATATATATATATATATATATATGGAGTTTCTATTCTGTCAATGTGAAATACTTTGGTTTGTTGATTATTCATCTTTCAATAACTTTTTGCCCAGAGATTATTTCTTACGCCCGGTTAGGAACAAAACTTGACTGTGGTTGTATGCACTTATTTAGAATGTGGTTCAGTTGATATTTCTTAGTTATAACGATATTTTATAACTCTGTAAGAAAGTATTTCTCGGTATTTACTCCGCTAAAATTAAGCTGAGTTCTAAAGTATTGATTACCTAAAGCTAACATGTTCACACTTCAAATTGTTTAGATATACAAGTTGAAGATGAAGACAGTTACTGAATGACAGCATTGGATGGAGGTTGTAGTATATCGTAAACTAACAGAAGAAGAAAATATTGACCAGTGAATTTCAACCCAGTTGACACAATGGTAAAGTGTTGTCCATGGAACCTGTAGATCCTGGTTTCGATCCCGGATGGAGTCATAGGTACGCACTACTGAGGGACCATATGCTAGAAAGAAACAGTTGTCCAGTGGTCTCAGGTTTCCAATGGTTCTTCAACTGATTTCAGTCCATGATCAATACTAACCTGAAATCAATCAATAAATCCTCACAAGCCTCCAAATTGAACAAATTTAAATATTACCTTAATTGCATGAAATATAAATGTATTTTTAAATTTGAGCCATTAATTTTCTATTCATGTAATTTAATGTGTAAATTTCAATGTCCAAAATGTGTACATAATGTTAAATACCTAACTTAATTACACCTGTTGTTACTTAAAATTTCAAATGGCGCGTATTGAATGTTCAATTGCTTTTTAAGCTGCTGTCATTTTGAACACGATATGTATGCTTGCGATACATATGAAATGAAGACAAAACATAATTATACTGTTATAGCTATCATAATTAATTATTATTTGTGAAAGGCAATTAAAGCAGAAAGCCAAACATATAGAAGAAATATAGTTAACAGTTTAATCTTGTATCAGAACTGGTGATCTGGAGGCGACTAGCTGTGACGTGGGTTAGTGAGGTGCATATACCACCCTGATATCTAGTTCACTGATATTCTTATTGAACAACATTAACACTAATCAGCATCAAATTAATTCGAAGAATAATTCACTCAAGAATTTAAAAGAAGAAATTAAGAATTATCAGTCTCGAGAAACGTCAGCAACAAGAAGTTATCGAAGAAATTTTATCAATCCTATTGAACTGTATTGTCTGCATCGATTTTTCCCATCAGCAAGCATCTTAGACTTAGTCAACTAACTGAGTGAATACTGTTTATAGCATTCTGTGACAAATTAAATGGCCAGTGACAGTGTTTGTGGTTATAAGATGAATTTAACGGTTTTAACAAGTCACTAATAATCTTGATTTCTAGTTTCTACTTTTCAGTCCAACTTGGTCGGCTTAAACAGATTACCTCTTTTTGTCAAAATAGCAAAAATATATTTCAGTTTAAGATTCTTGTATGTAATAGCAGAGTAATACATGTAAGTGGTTGATTTTAAAATGAGGGATCATCAGGACGAAATCGATTTTACGTAGTGTCCGTATGATATCTACATATACCCATCTAAGTATAAGTGATTTGTTTGTGGCTAACGATGAAATCCAGGACAGGCGTTACATCCTATTTGAGACTCCTCAGCCGGATATACCTGTCTCCCAGTAACCGATGTTGTTCCCACTAGGACTCGGACTTAGGACCGATTACTTTAAATGCCAAAGCGTTATCCACTAGGCTACTGAGGCACAATAGCCACCAGAGATTGATCAATTCCATCCAGTATCATAACAAAGAATTACAAGTATATCAACAACTGTCTAAGAATGTTGAATGGTTTGAAATATGTTCAGCAGTTAAACGTTTATTAAGTAATTTGTATTGAACTCGGAGAGAACCGTGTGGTAACTAACTCTTGACACTTTTGAGTGTATATATCGTATTTAAATTTCGCATTATATTTCATAACTAGTGAAATATTCATTCCATCATCATATCTTGAATAATTTGTCGCAGTACACAATAGTGTACTTCAAGATCTCTCCTTCGTTTGTCATTTGGTTAGGCGAAAACTGCTAGGCACGAATGGCAAGTCGATCGGTGGGGTCATGAATCTTCATTGCCTGAGGTGGCTTCGAGATGTGCTGTGTTAGCAGAAGTTGGATTCGGTTGTAAGAAAGTTCCAGGTTACCAAACCAAGACGTGACACCAGTGCGTCAAGTTCCTGACTGTTAGTCTCAGTCATGTAGGGAGATGTAGACTATCTGGCTAAGGTTCCCGAGACAACAGGAATCAGTGGTTGAGGATTCTTGGTGGCATGGCTGAAAATCGGTCACAATGACGCAGATGCATTCACTCTTTAATGTCTTCTATAGCTTGAATGTTCTGGTAGCTAACCCTAATTTTTAAATTTCCTCTTCTCCCATATACCTTCATCTACTTTGATATCAGTCTTTTTTTAGTCACTTGTTCTTTGTTTTATATTATGAAATGTCAAAACTTGAACCAATCCACTTGTGTGCAAAGTTCTACATTGATTTATTATCAGTAGTCAAACATGACAAACTATTAGCGGTTCTTTGCAAGTTGAAGGTCAGTAAACAGATTCTGAATCATCAGAAAATCAATCAGTTCTTCACGTAGAGTAGTAAATCGAGATGATAAAATTAAAGAACATTGGGTCAAATCGACAAATAAACAAATAACCTTGAACAAACAACCAGGTAGCACTCAGAAAACGATAATAACGATGATAGTCGCGCTATGTCGTGGATTGACACAATTTGTAAATTGTGAACCACTGGAAACCGACCCAGTCGCTGAATGGTTGATGCATTCGCAGTGAAACCTGAGGATCCTGAGTTCGATCCCTAACGGGGTCGTGTGTGCGTACTGCTGAGGAGTCCCGTACTAGGATGAAACAGGTGTCGAGTGCTCCCATATTTTTAATGGTTCCCCCAATCGACGTCAGTCCATGATGAATACTACTGTTAGATAATAAACAACATAAATGTGCATAATGATAAGGCAGTTATAAAGAGTAATTTTGGGAACTGGGTTCAACACGGGTATTCATTTCGTTCATTAAAATATTCCTGGAGAAGTTTTATCAGTTCCTTTGCATACTGTACGGCTAGATTGTCCACATACTAGCGCACTTTCTACTTTCGATTACACTATAGATCAAGCATAAATAGAAAATAGTATCAAAATGAAATTGGGAGTGCACACCCCTTGTTGCTCATACTCCGTTGGCCAACTAAGGACTCAATATGTTGGTTTTTAATGTCATTAGGTGGCTAGTGACCTTGATCTTTATTCCTTAACTTTGCCACCGAATTCACTTGCTACAAAAGCTGATTTTAGGATATTAAATCAAACAGCTTCATCAATTAAAGAATATACGAATCATCTATACGAAATGGTAGTCGAAGAAGTGTATTTACGTAATCCCGTAGTTATAATATAATAATTCATGTTTACTACAACTCTTTAAAAGGTTTATCAATATTATTAAACATACCATCGGTCCCATGTCACCACGATCTCCCTAAAAATCCAATTAAGATAAGGGTTAACGAAATAGTTGAGAGTAATTTAAGCAGTTGAACATTATCAGATTATCAACGATTCGATAATTTAAACAAAGTTGAGAATAACAGGAATTTAACAGTAGTTATTGATGGTCTAGAGTAATACTGAATGATGTACAACAGCTTTTTATCTCAACAATAAGAGGAGTTAATTTACGATAAAGGAGGTGAATTTAACATACTGACAGCAATAATATAATGATATGCACTAGTTGTTGGCTATCTGTGATGATCAGAATATATGCCTTTTTTATTTTTAAGATACTATTCATCAGAGAATGACATCAGTTGGAGAAACATTGAAAATTTGGGAGAACTAAACAAATGTTTCGTCATATTATGTAGCTCCTCAATAGTGCGCATCCATGACAATGCCCTGCCAGGTTTCAAACTCAGGATCTTCAGGTTTCATCGCGATCGCTTTGATCATTTAGTCACTGAGTTGATGTTCAATGGTCTACAGTATCCTACTTCTATCAGTTCAGACGAAACAGTTATGAAGTGCTTACAGGTTTTCAATAGTTCTCCAAACTGATGTCAAACAGTGATGAATACTACCTTAAAAATAAGAAATAGATAAACATTTTTCAAGGTCATGCAGCAAACAGTAGGCAGCGAGAAGAGGGGGGATACACTGGACTGCGGAAAAGAACCTAGAAGATTTGGATTTCGCCGATGACTTGTGCCTGGTGTCACACAAACTTGAAGATCTGCAGGCAAAAACTAACAAATTGATAGAAGAGGCAGCGAAGACGGGACTTCAGGTGAATATAGAGAAGACAGAGGTGATGAAGATACCGCATCAACAACTCCAACAACAACAAACTCCAATCACCGTCAACGGGAGAAACTTAAAGGAAGTAACCTCCTTCACTTATCTAGGAAGCACTGTTTCAACTACAGGCGGCACAGACACAGACGAGGATGTCAAAACCAGTCAGAATCGGTAAAGCAAGACAGGCGTTCATTAGCCTGAAACCAGTATGGAGATCTACTTCACTGCACTCAGCATAAAGAACAAGATACGGATTTTCAACACCAACCCAGTCAAGTCAGTGCTTCTGTATGGTTCAGAGACTTGGCGCGTCACGAAAGGCATTTCCAATAAACTACAGACATTCATCAACAACTGCTTACGCTCGCTACTGAAGATCAGTTGAGATGACCAGAAAGAATCAGCAACAAGGAGCTCTGGGAACGAACCAACCAAGAACCTATCACGCAACAAATATGCAGGAGTAAGTGGAGATGGATTGGACATGCACTCAGAAGGCCGACTGAGGACATCACGCGTCAGGCCAGTTGCTCGAGTGGAATCCCCATGGGAAACGACGAGTTGGACGTCCCAGCTGAGGGTGACATGGAGGATGTCGTGCGAGGAGGAAATGAGAGGTTGTGGGCTGTCGTGGAACCAGGTTCAAGAGATCTCAGAGAACAGAGATCACTGGAGACGTGCTACTGAAGCCATATGTTCCACTAGGAACCCAAGGGACTAATAATAATAATAATATCACTGGTAGAAAATTGAATTATCCTGATAGATTTTTGATACCTTAAAATGAAACAGTACATTTTGAACTAGGTAAACTAGGAAATATAGCATATAAATGTCTAGTACTTCTTACAGAGATGCTGTATTGATGAGTACCAATAAACACAAAACCTACACATAGAATTTACCACCAGTTGACTAAGTCTTTGGACCAGTTGGATAGTCACTGGCTATAAGCATAGAGTAAAATAGAAGCAATAGGGTTTGGTATGTATAAAGTTAAGTTGTTAAAATGTTCACTTTTTAGATTCACATAAACAAACACCAAATGAATTATGAATGAAGTTGACTTTGTTTCACGTTTTTTAATACTTCCATTAACTGATTTCTTTTAAGCCAGTTTGTTTCAACCAGTTACAGTATTATTTAGACAGTTAATCAAATAACATTCATATATTCAGATGTCAAACTGTGATATCCAGCCATCTGTTACTTTTGACTTCCCAGTAGGCGAAATTCTTTAACTATGAATACATTCTAAACAAAATTTCACTTCAATACAAGTACTGGCTAAAAATTGGTAAGATATATCTGAACCATCTTAAGATGTAAAAGTTGAAGAAATAATAGTTAGATTAACTTTCTCACATGAAGTTTCTATCGAGCAGTAGCACTGAATCCTTGTTCTTGCAAACTTCTCTTATGTGATCGCACGGTTAGTAGGCTGATTGCTTAACATATAAGATTTATAAGTTATATCCAGATTAACTTATTTTCCACAAAACAAGTGAACATAGTTGTACAGTTATGCATAGAGATTGTTTCTTCCTGTGGTAGTGACCAGGATTAAGTAGCTTTTGGTGTGCGGCTTTATTTAGCTATCATCCTTGTCAATTGAGTTCTTTAAGATACCTAAGAAATAGCTTCAGTATTTATTCTACTCCCTTAAAGTATCATCTGATACAACAACATAATTTTAGCATCCTTGAATTATTCATTTAGGATCTTTAGTCTTCGAAGTCAGTAGAAAATATAGTTTCAGTGCTTAGGAATGCATTGAGTAAAGTTGAAAAGTAGGTTGCGTTTCAAATCATATTTGTATACCATTTGTTATTACTCTGAGTTCGTAGCTGGTAATCGTTTAGCTTATATGCACTTAGTCTGTTACTAAGCCATACACCTAATTTTGATTCCATAAACCTTGAATTTTCTAGAGGTTAAAGCCTTTTTCTTGTAAATAAGTCAGGTACTGAACTGAGAAGAGAATTTATTCAAGTAATTTTTTCCCTTTAATGACCTAATCTCTATTTCCACTGATTTAATAGCTAAATGTTAACACTTTGTAGCCTATTCTTATATCCTGAATTTAGTTGTCAAACTTTTATTTATAAAATGTGAAGAATACCTGTGAGACAAACTTTTAACAACCGTGTACTCTGGAATAAAATCTGCACCATTTTATTGGTATAACAGACAAGAATTTTCTAGATTTCCTTTCATTGTAAATTAGCGAATAATCTCCCAAATTATAACTTGTTATTCCAAAGCTGGTAGGTTTCTGCAGCTCTGTGTTTAACTTATTTACATGTAATGATCAAAACAGAACAATCATAAATACATTGTTATGTAATTTGGTTAATATAACCTTGGAAACATTCGAAGAGACTTTAAAACGAACATTATTATACAACGTGAACATTGGGATAAAAAGTGATAAAAAAAAATTAACAGCACATTACTCCTTTTAGTGTGGTACATTTCCTCAGTTGCCATATTTTACTGTCTTAGATGTACAGGTTGATTTGTGTTTCCAAACACCAAGGTAAATTTGTTTCTCATTTTAGTCTGCTTATTTCTGTGTCCCACCTATGATCTTTCTGATCGTGGTGAACTGGATCATGCAGCAAACCGTGAGGAGTGAGAAGATGGGCATACACTGGACCAATGAAAACAGCCTAGAAGATTTCGATTTCGCCACCAATCATGATTTATGTCTAGTGTCTTGTTACACAAACTCGAAGATCTACAGGCGAAAACTAACAAGTTGACAGAAGAGGCAGGACAGCGAAAGCGGGACTTCAAGTGAATGTAGAGAAGACAGAGGTGATGAAGATACCCAACCAACAGCATCAACAACAAGCTGCAATTACCATCAACAGGAGAAACCTAAAGGATGTAGTCTCTTTCAAATACCGAGGCAGCATCTTTTCAACTACAGGCGGTGGCGGCGACGGCACAGATGGCAATGTCAAAACCAGAATCGGAAAAGCAAGACAGGCCTTCACTAATCTGAAATCAGTGTGGAGATCTACTTCACTCCACTCAGCATAAAGAACAAGATTCGGATTTTCAACACCAACGTCAAGTCACTGCTTCTATGTGATGGTTGAGAGACTTGGCGGCGCGTTACGAAAGGGATTTCCAATAAACTACAGACATTCATCAACAACTGCCTACTCTGGCTCGATACTGAAGATCAGATCAGATGGCCAGAAAGAATAAGCAACAAGGCACTCTGACTGGCTGATAACGAACCAATGAAGCAAGAACCTATCGCTGAACAGATATGCACTGAAGGAAGTGTAGATGGATTGGGTATACACTGAGAAGGCTGACTGGGGACATCACGCGTCAGGCCAGGCTGTGAAGTGGAATCCAGAGGGGAAACGAGGAGTTGGGCTTCCGAGGTGACGTGACATGGAGGAGATCGTGTGAAGAAGAGATGAAAGCTTGTTGGGAGTCGTGGTGTCATGTTGAAAAGACTGGAGAGAAGAGAGTGGAATGGAGATGGGTTACTGAATCCCTATGTTCCACTAGGAAGCCAAAGGAAAAATAATAATATTTCCTGTGTCATATAGAGAAACGGTATAGTTGCTGGATAACGTTTTGGACGTAATATATTTTCTATATTCATATCAGGTGTCATTTTCTTTTTGTCGTTTAAGTGTTAGTTCATATTGTGATTATGTCTCATCTATCTGTTGAAATTAAGGCGATTTCTATTTTTGGAATGATATCTGATTTCAATTCACTAACCGCTACATTGAAGTTAAGGCCTTTCTCTGGTACCTTTACTGGTGCTGAGCTGAAGGTCCTAGTTGAGAAAGTGACAACTCACTTTGATTTGTTGGTCATTTGTGATGTGATAATGATTGTCTCATAATTATCGACTATATACTTTACTTTCATAGTTCCATTTAACACCTTAACCTGAATATTGTTCAATTTCTTGAGAGTTGCTGATCTTACTTTATTACGGTTATTCACTTGCTGTTTGCATCAGTTTATATTTTATTTCTTCAGTATAATTCTTGATGTTGTACAACTTCTTGACTATTCTGTAGATTTCTTCTGTAAGACAGTTTACTGAGACCCTGTATGGCTGTTTTAACTTCGTCTGTTAAAATTGGGGCAAGTGGATGTAGATATTTAGAAGTGATTCGATTTCTAAGATATTGAATATGTGATGATTTCTATGTCTGGTTTCTGTATGTGAAGGTCGTGCGAGTCTGTTGATTAATCTTCGAACTGGAAGACCATATATTTACTGAATATAGGAGTAAACCATGGGCACTGTGGTAGACAGTAATACCATTTTAGTTTAAATTTTGAGGGGGTTGTGGAGATTTGGAAATATTTCAAGTTGTTATTCATCGAAGACTGACATCAGTTGGAGGAACAAAGGAAACCTGGGAGCACTGGACAACTGTTTCGTCCTAGTATGGGACTCCTCAGCAGTGCGCACCCACGACCCCACCAGCAGGGATCGAACCCGCGACCTCAAAATTTAATTGAACTAGTGCTCGTTGGTGACTAGCTTCGAGAAGTATTCCCGAAGTTCCAATGACAAGTCGTGACCGTGGAGTCAAAGCCTGATGGCCGTGAGGACAAATACTCAACGATGACATTGGGTGGTGGTTTGCGCTATATCGTGAGCTAACAGAAGTTGGAAATATGGAGCATTGGAATGTGACCCAGTGGCTAGCTCAATGGTAACGCGCTGGTCGCGGAACCTGAAGGTGGCGGGTTCGATCATTGGTGGGTGGGGTCGTGTGTGCGCACTGCTGGGAGTCCCATACTAGTCGGACGAAACAGCTGTCCAGTGCTCCAGGTTTCCTTTGTTCCTCCAACTGATGTCAGTCTTCGATGAATAACAACTTGAAACCATTTTAGTTTGTTTATTAGATGTATCACACACTATTATATTATTATTTTATTATTTCGTCATGTTCATTTCACTTCACTCACTTTGGTATACTTCTCTTTTATTATCGTCATCATCATTATCACCAATTTTTCACTTCATTGACAACATTTGACCCATATTTCACTATTTAATGTCAATTCATTCCTTATTCACTGACTCATTTGCATGTTACAGCTTAATTATCACCGTTTTACAATTCTTTGACAGTACTTGTTCTGAAATTGTTCCTTATACACAGTGACCTATTTTCTATTTCTTCCACTTGAACAAATGACAACACCAACACCACTTGTGTACTTTACATATTGACTGAGGAAGTCTCGTTTTAGTGCAATTATCTGTCATTTTTTACCGAGTATAAATACGACTACTGTACAGCTTGATAATGAAGTTGTTGAAAAGAAATACTTCTTTTTAGCTGATACATGTCTTATTCATGAATAAATAGGTATATTTCGTAACTTCTTTGATGTTGACAAGACGTAAGTGATAACGAGCCCTAACATACCTGACTACTCATACTGTATAACAAACTACCTACTGAGGCAGCATACAAGTGTACTTTCTAAGGTTTGATGAACAATGATTGACTTAGCAACCAGTTCACGTTGAAATGCTTGATTTGTCGACCAGTGAATCAGTGAATTTAGGAGTGACTTTAAAGGCCATCCTAGCAACTGTTGAAATGACCGATCAAGCTTCGATATTCCTCCTGAAAAAGTACTTTCCGTAGATGGCTGTTTTATCAGTTGTTAGGGGGGCGTTAAAGTCATCCACTCATATTCCCTTCTCAGTGTATCCTACCGCACTTAGGAAAAATGAATTTGTCCAGAAGATAATGACCTGTCTGATTGGATGTGGGTGACTTTAAAGGCCACGCTGGTAACTGATGAGACAGCCAATTACATTCCTGTATTTTACGGGGAAGTACTTTTGCAGGCAAAATACTGAAGCCTGATTGGTCACTTCAGCAGTTGCTATGGTGGCCTTTAAAGTCATCCAGGGTTTCATAAGAGTGACCTGAAGGTAGCATTGACAACAACTGAAATAGCCAATTAAGTTTCTTTATTCTGACTAGAAAGGCGGATTTTCATGAAATAAAGGAGTACGATTAGTTATTTCATTAGTTGTTAGAATGGACTTTTAAACTCACTTGTTTCAGAAGACTAGGCTGTCGATCAATATATTAGTTATCGAACCGGCTGAGTCGCAGAGATGTTACCTAGCTATTTTCGAATTTCAATTAGCATAAAGGTTAGAAATACTCGATACAACAGATTAACAGTTCACCAAAACAAACTGTAATTTCACTTACCTTTTCTCCTTTCAGCCTTAGAAGACCCTGAAAAGTAAAGTATGTTATGTTATTCTATTCATTATTTATTTCGAAAATATTCCATATTATTTATGAGTGACTCTTTAACCCTATCCTAAAAAATACTGAAGTAATCAATTAGATTTCTGTATTTTCTGAGGAAAAAACAGCCTTTCCAGTTGAAATAAAGACACCTAATTGGTTATTTTAGTCGTCGCTAGGGTGGCCACTAAAGTAACTCTAATTTAAGGCTACATAAAAGATATTCTTCAGCCTGTAACTGTCGTGAGCTAGTTATCATTTGTACTTTCGTGACAATCACTGGTTCCAGATAAATAATTTTTAATTTTCAGCATTCAACAAGCCTAAGTACTTGATTATCAGTCAAAAGTATATTGAAGCAGTAAACAGATATAAACAGTATATTACAAAGACGAAGATTGCCTGAAACATGTGATGTAGTGGTGCTATGCCTCTCGAACAATCTGATAACACATGGATTTGTCACAATACTCATAAGAAAACTTTAGGAAAATGGTCAATGGGAAAAATAAGAAGAATAGAAAGGGTAGTGGGTTACTATATCAAAAACAATGTATGTCCACACAAGAAAAATGATACCCAGATCGTCTGCAAGCTAATTTCACTCAAGACATCACACCCACTAACCAGTGGACAAGTGGAAAAACCTCGAATCCACCCACATTTACAAGTCGCTTAGAGTACACCAGGGGGTCACCAGAACATCAGGTTAGTACACTGTGGTGTTGACTATAGCAATTTATCGCATAACACAGCACCTTATCAGTCCGATAAAATGGAGCCAAAAAAGTATGACAGCACTATCTGCTCAAATGAGTCAAGGGGATATGTCGGCAAACTTCATGTGACTTACGGAAGGGTAGTCTGAAGGACAGACAGATGATTAGTGAACTTCAGAGACGCAGCAACATAGATCATGGACAATCCGTAAGTGAAAGAGCCTTCAAGATTGTTGCTGATGAGTATATCAATTTTTCAAGCGTTTACCGAAGTCTAAGTGAATTTGAACCATTTCAATGCTAAAAATACCATGTAGCGGTTAAATACACACAACAGGTTGGCATGAAATTAAGGCATTTTTATAAGATCAATGTCATTAAACATTGGAATTGTACAACCAAAGCTACGGAAAATGTTTTTCTGAAGTGGGGAGGAGAAGATTCATCGGATTTATGACTATTTATTATTTGTCCTTTAGGTTCCTAGTGGAACATAGGGATTCAGTAGCACGTCGCCATTACACTCTCTTCTCTACAGTCCATTTGACGTGGCTCCACAACTGCCCACAAGCTTTCATTTCTTCCTCACATGATTTCCTCCATGTCACCCTCACCTCGGACACCCAACTCGTCTTTTCTTCTTTAGATTCCACTTGAGGGCATGGCCTGGGGCGTGATGTCTTCGAATAGTCTTCTCAGTGTTTGTCCAGTTCTATCCATCTTTATTTTCTTTTGCATATTTGTCAGGCGATAGGTTCTTGGTCGGTTGGTTAGTTGTCAGGCCAGAGTTCCTTGTTGCTTATTCTTATTATATTCTGGCCACCTGGTCTTCAGTATCCGGTGAGCATAGTCGGCAGCTGTTCATGTATGTCTGCAGTTTGTTGGATATGGTCTTCGAAACACTTCAAGTCTCTCAACCATCACACAGAAGCACTGACTTACTTGACTTGACTGACATTAGTGCTGAAAATCCGGATGTCGTTCAAACTTTATACTGAGTGCAGTGGAGTGCAGTAGACTTCCACACTGATTATTTCAGATTAATACAGGAAGGCATGTCTTGATGTCTTTCCGATCCTGGCTGCTTAGACATCCTCATCTGTGCCACCACCACCGCCTGTAGTTGAGACGATGCAGCCCAGCCCGGCCTAGGTAGGTACGTAGGTGAATGAGACAACTTCTTTTAAAATTCTCCCGCTGATGGTGATCGCTGCTTGGTGTTGTTATTGCTGTTGTTGTTGGTTGGCTATCTTCATCACCTCTGTCTTCTCTATGTTCACCTGAAGGAAGTCCCGTCTTCTCTACCTTGCCTCTTCTGCTAACTTGTTAGTTTTCACCAGTAGATCCTCGAGTTTGTGAGACAAATAATACTCTTCAAATTGTCACCAAATCATTTTCCTCATTTCCAGCTTCAATTCAGTTACTTTAGACTACACCACCACAACATAGACTAAGCAGATCACTAAAAAATAATTTTTCGTGACCCAGTAAAGAGACAGGAAGAACTGAGTTACCATCAAGAGGGTGGAATCTGAAGGTTGTTGTACAAGCGTCCATTTATATATAGAGCTGAAGTTATGTCAAGCAGTCACCACAAAAATAATAACAGGTGGCGACAGGGGTCATAAAAGTGTAGGTTCGATATGACTACAAAATGTTTTCTCATACGCAAAGAAAGTTTGAATTTACGGACGGTCAGAGCTTCCATAAATTTAAGCACTCAGCCCTCACTACTTCTATGTGTAATAATTCGAAGGCTGTTTTCACGTCTACCATATGACTAGTTTCTAGTATATGCTTGACAAAAGATGAAGAGGAACGTTTGTCACCTGCATCTGTTGGGTCAGCTGAGGTCATTTTTTTGTTTTTTAGATGTATTTTCAACCATCATCAACTGCATATCACGATTACTCCTCCGTGAGTATTTTTGCTTACATAAACATACAAATTGATAAACACAGTGAGATGTGGTGCAACTGTTTACGTGTTGCTTTGGCTTTTGTGGTAATGTAGACTTTATCTTCCCTATAATGATGACCTTGGTCGATGTAAGCCTTTTTTCACAATGGCTAGCTATGTGAATCGTCTCTAGGTGGCAATGATATGTAGACTTTTTTCATAGGAAGTGAAAACTGAATACTTTTCAATGCTACACAATTTTTACACCCGATGTTTAATTTCAACGGGTAACTGTTCTGAATCAGTGTTATCATCAAAAGCTTGATTTAATCGTCCTCTGTATGCAGAAGAAATGCTATTTTACGACATATTGCTTCATCGATGGGAGAATGGCTCGGTCAGGTCAATCTACAGGAAGCCGACTTAGACTGGGCGATATCATAGTTTCTTCAAGTTGGTACTCGTCATGGACTGACATCAGTTGGAGGAACATTGGAAACCTAGCAGCACTGATCAGCTGTCTCGTCCAACTAGTATGGGACTCCTCAGCAGTGTGCACCTGTGACCCCACCACACCAGGGATCGAATCCACCACCTTCATATTCCATGGCCAGCACGTCACAGTTAAGCCACTGGGTAGGAATCCAGTGATCCAGTGATCCATATTTCCAACTTCTATCAATCCATGACATAGCGCAACCATCACTCAATGTCATTGTTGAGTGTTGTTGTCTACATGTCCACTAGGTTTGCTCGACTGGTGATGACTTGTCAATGGAGCTTTGGGAATCATCTCTCGAAGCTAATCACCAGTGAATACTAGATCAATTCAATTTGAGGGGTTTTGATGGGGATTTATTCATTTCAAGTTGGTATTCATCATGGACTGAGAGCAGTTGGTCACGAAACCTGAAGATCGTGGGTTCGATCCCTTGGGAATGATGGGTAGGCACTGCTGAGGGTTCCATACTAGGAAGAAACAGTTATCCAGTGGGCCTAGGTTTCCAATATTCCTCCAACTGATGTCAATCCATGATGAATACCAGATTGAAAAATCACAATCCCCACAAATTCCCAAACCAAGTATTTTAGTTGCCATAGCTACTATCCAGTCCATTATAAACGCGGTTTAGTTTGATACTTATTCAATAGAATCGATCGTATGTGCACCGACGTTTCAAAACAGAATGGAATCAACGTTTACGAAAACAATTTGTACTCACATTGATCCTACCTTGGTAGTATTGATTTTAATTTTCATATGGAGAGTGATGTGATTTAGATTGTTTTTTCTCTGTCCTTCCTATTTAACTTAGTTAACAGTTTTCGTAGATTTCCCGTGTAAGTAGTTCGACCAATTCATTTGTGTGATCAGATTGTTCAAAAGATACAAGGCTAATACACCACCAAATGTTTCAGATAATCTTCATTTTCTCATTATATTGTGTAAATTTATCAAAGGGGCGGGGAGCTAACTGTTTTAAGCTTCGTTCGTGTCACTTTACAGCACCAAAAGGTGGTCAGGTTAGATTATTCTTTTGATGCCTCCGCTAATCAATAACATTTTGTTATAGCATATTATAAAAAGCCAAACCTACAATTTTATAGAATATAATTTTATCTGAGGTGGAGATAACTGGTCCATCTGTTGGATTCGGTTAGGTTATAACATTTGTGACGCAGAAATTCTTTCAAAGAAAAAATATTTAGTCTCATGACATTAGGTTTAGTTTATCACTTCAACTATCTGAGATTGTTGTGCTTTGGAAGACTTGCATTGATGCCGGGTGATAATTGAAAGTGAAATGAAAATCTGGTCAGGAGTCGGTTCTTGTGACAGAACACTCGGTTGGAAACCCCATGGTTGATGGTTCAAATCTTACCGCTGACCAGGTTTAATTTCAGGAATAACTTGAAAGGTAAGATAAACAGCTGTATTATTCATCCAATGTTTTATATATACCTTATGGTTTGTCTTCCTTTCAACAATGTTACACGGACATATTATACTGTGATAATTATTTGGTGTACTGCTGGCTTTCAGACTTGTCCTTGAAGGTTTCATCACCAGGTTGGGTGACTTAATCAGCAGTTATTTCGTATACGAAAAGTCTATGAGAAAAATCAAAGCTCGATAAACACGAAACAGTCATCATCCTCATCTTAAGCTGCAAATCTTCTGTACGATATTAGAGTATGTTATCAATCCCCAATTTAGTGCAGTTCGAAGCATGATCTTAATCAAATGGATGAAGTAATATTTTTGTGTGTTATAGAATATCTGTGGCTATGGTCATGAATGTACAAACTATGGATAGTAATCCATTCTGATCAACAATTTTTGTTACAAAACACGAAGAAGTCAAGTAAAGAAAATAAAAGTCTGTTAATTATGGATCGCGGCTAGCAGTGGAATCCAGGATGAGCATTTCCTCCTATTTGGGACTCGTCAGCTGGATATACCTGCTTCCCAGTGAGTGATGTTGTTCCCACAGGGATTCGGACTCGGAAGCGATCGCTTCAAACGCCAGCACGTTATCCACTACACAACCGAGCCATGATAGACACTTCTTGTGCGACGGGGAACAACATCACTCACTAGGAAGCAGGTACATCCAGCTGACGAGTCCCAAATAGGTCGAAATGCTCATCCTGGATTCCACTGCTGGCCACGATCCATAATTAACAATTAGAACACTGGCAATATCGAGGTATCCGCACAGGAGCCCATACGCCAATAGAGACTAATCAATTCTGTCCAAGAAGCGACGGTATCATATAAAAACGATTATACTAAAATAAAAGTCTTCCTGGATTTTTAGCTTTCTAATTAAAAGAAAGTAAGGGATATTTGATGCATTACTACTAATGAAGGTGATGCTGCGATTACACTATGCACTAGGTGGTTGAATCTTCACTTACGTGGTTTTTGTTACAGGCTGATATTATTTAGGTTACATTTAAAAGATATAGAGAATATAAAGTTTGTCAATATTTGTTGTATAGAATGAAACACAGAAATTCTTATATAAAGATCATTAACTAAATGTCTGTATATTATTTGGTCGGTAACAGAAAGCACTGAAGTAAAAGAGCGAAGGAAGAATCGAAGGAGGCTTGTTTATGATGACAATTTGAACATTTCTGATAAAATATTAGAGTGACTTAAAAGACCACCCCAGTAACGATCGGAATAATCAATTAGGTTTCTCTAATTTGACTAGAAAGTCAGATTTTTATAAAATAGAGAAATTTAATTGGTTATTTAAGTTGTTTCTAAAGTGACCTTTAAAGTCGCCCAAATATTATAACGTTCCATTGAAATATCAATTTTGCACAACATGTTCAAGTTTATCTCCTTTTTCTTTTCCGCCTTGATCTTAATACGGCCAAGTCATCTTTTGCTCTTCTCTGATCAGAATATTTATTCATCTCTTGTAATTGCCTATCAGTAGCATCTATAATAGTATGACTTTGTAGGGCTAAACTTTACGTTCATATTGGTACGGTATAATATCTGCAGTCTTGAAGAAACTCAGGCTAGTTTCTATCAAATTCTGGCAACCAAACATGCATTATACAATAGTATTGTAATTTTTGTTGATTAAATTTGACAAACACCAATAACTTGAAGCGTAACACTGTGGAGATAAATTTGTGACAACTTTGTCCAATTTTCATTGTTCTCTGACAAATAATACAAGTTTGGATAAAAGGTTACTAAACCCTAGATGAAATCTATGTTCTTTTGCCTACTTTACTAGTTTACTGACTACCACAGTGATTCACGATAGTAAGCAGACTGTGCATTTTTCTAGATGAATTCACGTGAAATCAGTTCAAAATGTTTTTTTAAACAAAGACATCTCTAGCTTGGAGTTTATCATGGACTGACATCAGTTAGAGGAAAATTGGAAACCTAGCAGCACTGATCAGCTGTTTCGTCCAACTAGTATGGGATTCCTCAGCAGTGCGCACCTGTGACCCCACCACACCAGGGATCGAATCCACCACCTTCATGTTCCATGGCCAGCACGTTACAGTTAAGCCACTGGGTGGGAATCCAGTGATCCAGTGATCCAGTGATCCATATTTCCAACTTCTATCAATCCATGACATAGCGCAACCATCACTCAATGTCATTGTTGAGTGTTGTTGTCTACATATCCACTAGGTTTGCTCGACTGGTGATGACTTGTCAATGGAGCTTTGGGAATCATCTCTCGAAGCTAATCACCAAACAGCGCTAGTCCATAGTGAATTCCAACCGAAAATCAATTAATAAACCTCCAGAAACCTTCAGATAGAAAGATAACTTTATAACGTTGGTTACTTAGGCAACTTGGTGTAGTTTTTGGTTGGTATACATATTGACCTCAAGTTGAATAGCAATCGAGTATCATCTCTAAAAGACTGCAGTGATGCTAAGATTAGGTTTACAGTTTGTAGCTTTCATCAATCGAAACTCAAGTTTATCGTAGGACTAAACAGGAAAAAAAGAATTTTCGAAATGACAATTGAATTCCTTACCCGTCGAAATAGATCTTCAATACAAGCGCATGAACTGACATTGGCTATCTGAAACAAGGACAAGATATTTGGCTGATAATTAATGATAATGTTTTCAGTATGAAGATTTTTGATGGAAGTGATTATTTTCAAAAGTGTTTTCATCATGTTTAGATGTGTTGACCAGAAAACGACTAGAAACCTGACAGTCGAAGACCCTCAAACTGGTAAGAAACAGCTGTCTAGTGCCTCTTGGTTTCTGACACTTCGTTAGGTGATTTTATTCTTTTATAAAAACTACTACATACCCCTAATTGTGCATAGCTTTTGCCTGGTTTCTTGCCCATGACCTTAAAGTAACCAACTTGGCTGTTTTCACATCGTTACTGGTTTTTCTTGCCTCTACTCTCAAGGCTGAACTTTCATTGGTTGTTGACTATTTTTACTTTTATGTGGATTTAGTGTTGTCAAGGTCAGTTAGAAATGTATATATTCAGCGTCTCTGTCAACTGTATTGGCTGTTTTAGACAGTAAGAACCTCTCTGTCAACGGTTTGTTTTCTCTTATTGTCTTCGTGCATCTGTGGTATTTATTGGTGTGGTGACGAGCGTTTTGATTAGCTTTAGAGTCGATCCGTCTGTTCTTTAGATTTGTATCATTCTAAGTTGGCTAGGCTCATTCGCTCGTAGGCAGTTAGGTCATACTACCGGTCATAACAAAAGCTCATTCTAAACTTACTAAAATAACTGAAAAGCATAGATTCATTTAGATCCAATTAATCACAGAAACAAACTGATCATTGACTTACTTTCTCAACTTCATCTACAAAAAATAGAAAAGAAACAAGAAAATAAACTTTTAGTATCTATTTACTCTTATCAACGTGAATTTAGATGAGTCTGTTGTTACAGCGCTTCTCTTCAGCGTTCGAGGGATCGTTGGAGAATGACAGTAACACAAGGTAATTTCATGTTAGTTAATACCCTAATGCAATTCTCTGGTCAGAAGCCAGATACTTTGTAAGCAATAAATCATTCTACCCAAGTCATTGCCATATCCAAACTTCGGTACATTTGAATATTCCCATTTAGATATTCAGAAAAAACACTGACTGAGGGAAGAAATATATTCTAGATTAGATTTTAAGTCATGAAGATGACAAGTTTTAGACATAAAGATGTAAATAATCTATCGAGTAGTGTTAGCACTATTACTTGTATTATACCATCATTGAGTAGACCGGATTGGTCGGTCTCCATTGACATGTGAACTCCTGCGCGGATGCCTCGATATTGCATGTGTTTTAATTCTATATAGAAATGATGGATAATGGCTAGCACTGGAATCCTAGATGCACATTTCGTCCTATTTGGGACTCATCAGCTGACTGTACATGGCTTCATCACTACTATATAGAATTCGAACACAGGCAATATCGAGGCATCTGCACAGCAGTCCATATGTCAATAGAGATCGACCAATTTGGTCCAATCAACGATGGGATAATACAAGCAATAATACTAAAACTATACCCGTTGCACATGAAGTAGCTATCGTGACTCGGTGGTCTCGTGGATAACTTTCTGGTGTTTGAAGCGATCGGTCTTAAATTCGAATCCCAGCGGGAACAACACCTCTAACTGGGAGGCAGGTACATCCAGCTGACGAGTCCCAAATAGGACGATACACACATCCTGGATTCCGCTATTAACCACTATCTACCATTATTATAATCAAAAGAGTAATTAAAATTGGAAATATGAAACAGGTTATTCTTAGATGAATGGAGTGATTTTGATGAGTAGTTCAGTTATAAACAATAAGAAAATAAATGAATTTTGAGGGAGTTGTGGAGATTTGGAAATATTTCAGGTTGTTATTCATTGTAGACCGACATCACTTGGAGGAACAAGGAAACCTGGAGCACTGGACAGCTGTTTCGTCCGACTAGTGTGGGATTCCCCCCACCCGCCAATGACCGAACCCACCACCTTCAGGTTCCACGACCAGCGCGTTACCATTGAGCTAGCCACTGGGTCACAATCCAATCGTCCATATTTCTAACTTCTGTTAGCTCACGATATATAGCGCAACCACCACCCAATGTCATTGTTGAGTACTATCCTCACGGCCATCAGGCTTTGACTCCACCGGTCACGACTTGTGATTGGAACTTCGGGAATACTTCTCGAAGCTAGTCACCAATGAGTACCAGTTCAATAGCTGTCCAGTGCTCCCAGGTTTGCTTTATTCCTCCAACTGATGTCAGTCTACAATGAATAACAACTTGACATAAATGAATGTTGATAGTTTAAATATTCTCATTGTGATAGTTAGAAGACAGAGTTTGAAGCGAATACGTATTTTCGGTAAATTCTCGTCAGCTTTATTTTCATATTTACAAATTATTCAACATAGTCTTCACTTGATATCAACATGGTTAAATTAACTCGAGTATATGAATTACAAGATAACAGTAAAGGTGATGATATGTAAAGTAAGCTAATATGTAATGCTGATTTGACTATCAGTCGGTAGAGCACCGGGCCGGTGACCCGGTGGTCGCTGGTTCGAATCCGGCCACGGTTCAGATTTTCATCTCACCTTCAATCATCACTCAGTATAATATGTATTCCGTATAGTAAATTAATTCGATTATGATGAATAGTTTTGAAAGCTTTTCTAGTATCCACTTGATGTCCCATGTCAATTAGATGTTCAAGTGTAAAGCTCTTTATTGTTCTAACTTGTTCTTTGCTCAACCATAATGAGTGATGCTCAGAAATTCGATGATGGACCTGCTTCATTGTACGCCCAATATGACTAGCTCCATATGAGCAGTTCAACTGATAAGTGCGTATTACGTAATCACTGGTTGTTTATATAACTGAACACTCATCAAAAACCACTCCATTTACCTAAGAATAACCTACATCACACTTCCAATTTTAATTATTCTATTGATTATTTACATCTTTATATCTAAAATTTATCATGTCTTCATGAATTATTGTTCATCAACCCATCACCACCAGTTGATTGGTATTTTGATTAAATTGTAAACCAGTATATAAGTGTAGAGCCAAAGACAAAGACCTAATTGAAAAGGAATATATTTCTTCACTCAATCAGACTTTTTTCTAACTATCCAAATTTATTGGAAGAACAAAGGAAACCTGGGAGTACTGGACAGCTGTTTCGTCCTAGTATGGGACTCCTCAGCAGTGCGCACCCACGACCCCACACCAGCAGAGGTGTCAGTCTACGATGAATAACAACTTGGAATATTTCCAGATCTCCACAACCCCCTCAAAAATTTAATTGAACTGGTGCTCATTGGTGACTAGCTTCGAGAAGTATTCCCGAAGTTCCAATCAGAAGTCGTGACCGGTGGAGTCAAAGCCTGATGGCCGTGAGGACAAATCGATGACATTGGGTGGTGGTTGCGCTATATATCGTGAGCTAACAGAAGTTAGAAATATGGACGATTGGATTGTGACCCAGTGGCTAGCTCAATGGTAACGCGCTGGTCGTGGAACCTGAAGGTGGTGGGTTCGGTCATTGGCGGGTGGGGGAATCCCACACTAGTCGGACGAAACAGCTGTCCAGTGCTCCCAGGTTTCCTTTGTTCCTCCAAGTGATGTCAGTCTACAATGAATAACAACCTGAAATATTTCCCAATCTCCACAACTCCCTCAAAAATTGAAAGTCATCAAATCCTTGACTGACTTGTTGAGTGACTTTAAGTTGTTCATCGTACTTTCAAGTGGAGAAAGATTTCGACTACATTATTCAAGGATACAGTAGATAAAAATTTTTTAATTAATTGTGTTTTATATGATCGTTTTGCACCGTCTAATTAGTCCTTGGGGTTTTCTACATGTTACCTGTTGACTGAAACCAAGAAAATTAAGGATTGGAAACTCACACTGGATTATGATGCACCTTTAAGGTTTGCATTATAGTACCAAACCATGACCTCAAATCCAATTGCCTAAACTCCCATATTTAATCCTTCATGAAAAATGTTTGCCTGTTGCGAGGTAGCTCCATTTTATACTTAGTTTTGAAAGTACAGATTTTCATGAATTCACCTCCTACCCTCCGCCAAGACAATAAAAAGCATGTTTGAGTGCAGTGAACACTTAGTGAAGAATGAAACTGCCTTTCTCAAACCAGATCCAGTAATAGAGTCAAAATTGTACTGATAATCGCTGCGAGATTGTTCACGTTCTAGCCTGACATAACCAGATGCTTTCTCAGTGGATCATAACAAATTTAAAGTGGTTGGAGATGGGTAAAAATGAAGAAGAGAAGGTGAAACAAACTGATATATGAATCAGTTTTTGATAGTTTTTAGAAGAAGTGGAGTAGTTTTAATGGGTTCAAATCCATCGTTTGCTTTGCTGAGCAGGGAAATCGGTAAAGAAACTGTTTTCATTTCCTTTTATATAACTGATGCTGCAGATTTGGAGAAAGACCAAGGGAAAATTAAAAATATCATAAGAATAACTGATACTCGTTAGACAATAGGTGGCTGTCGTGCCCCAGTGGCCTAAAGGATAACGCTTTGGCGTTCGAAGCGATGGACACTGGGTTCGAGTCTCAGCAGGGACATCATTCACTAGGGTGAAGGTAAATCCAGCTGACGGGCCCAAAATGGGACGAAACACGCTTCCTGGACTCCTCTGCCAGTCACCAGCATGAATATGGGGATTGAATTAAGTTGTTGGTTAACATAGGAAAAAATGTCATCATATTTTCTGTGTGAAATTTAACATACTATCAGATTGCAGGCTTTGGGATGAACTTAATTGTCTCAGAAGTCAATAGAGATCTTTCCCAGTTAACGTCATGAAACAATCTTCTTTAGGAATGGAAGATGCAGATAAGGTCTTATCGGAAAACTGATACATGTGACTGACTTATAGTAGACCTAATCACGCTTGTTTAATGTTGATACTTCCACTAAACAGTTTTCATATATTAAAAGTGCTGCTGAGTATACTACATTGAGATGTTTTATTCACATTCTGATGAGATTCTTGGGTACGACCAAATGGGGACGCATAATCTACTTACTGGATGAACGGTAAGACACTTGACAACTCGCTAAGGTGACAAAAGAAGAAGACAATCCTAGAGTGAAATAAGTTTACTTTATTGGAAAGTATGAAGGTAACAACCCAATGGTACAACTTTTTTATATGTATACATGTGTGCACCTTTGAGGTGAATAGTCAAGACAACATATTAAAAGTGAAAGATTAACCAATGGAAAAGCAATATTCTTAAAGGCGGTAAATATGAGCGGTATATGTGAAGCGGGAAAAGGCGCGAAAAAGACAGTTCAAATTTCCTATAAGATAAGTGGATAAAATTTAAGCATGACACTTTCAGTTTTAGAGATGCAGAATCCCCAACAGACATCTATCATCCAACTGAACGGTAAAGCTACTGAGGGTCTCATTCATTTTATATAGCGTTACTTTCTCTGTTGTTACCCTCTTCAAGTCATGGGAAGACAGTTGATCAAATGTCAATATTCCACTGGAGTAAAACTGTTCAAACCAATTTTAAGGTTATGTGAAATCTAAGCATTGATTTGGTTGACAAGGATGTAAGGTTACTCAACGCGTTTCGATTATTAGAGGTGTTGGTATGTGAAGATGACTTCTATACTTAATTGTTTTCGACCAATGACAGAACATTTTTTTGCGTGTAGATTATCTTATCATTTGTGTGAAACACATTATGCAACATTTTGAGATGAATACATGATGAGTAAACTTTGACATCGTCAAATAAGATCAGATCTTGAG